ACTAGTATAGCACGTTGAAAACCGATTGTTACTCGCCTTGCTTGCGCATTCCTTACAGCAGGAAATGTTAAATATTGCAATTAAACAGAAATGTATTTATGTAACTAGTAATTTTAATGATCGATCTGGAGAATAATCACTATTAAATATAACCCAAAAGATCTATACCGGTAATATAATACAAATCATATATGTATTTCTCTGAAAATCTTAAAGAAGAGGCCTTTGTTCAGCAGTGGGCTCTGATAGGCTGATGATGATAATATGTATTTATATTTCGATTAATTTTTAATTATGTGTAAGCAAAGTTTAGTTACGAGCTATTATATCAAAATGTAAAATGAGTTTAAGCAGTCATCCTTATATTCTTCCCAATTAAAATCAAATTTATAAAGCACCGTCGCCTCGGGGCGAGGGTCGCAACCTTACAAACTGAACTCGGGCTTCATTCAATTGTCACTGATTGAATGGATGCAGCTGTAGAATTGCATAACTCGGTTTAATATAGATTTTTTATAAACAATATATATTATTTTACCGCGAAAAAGGTTTGATATGGTCATTTTTAAAGGTTCGTTGGACCTCCAAAAAGGTTTGATATATTTAATTTTTGCATTCTCAAAATATAACATAAAACGCATATTCTCTTTATTGTTTATAAAGTCGTTTTAATTTTTATTACCGTGATAAAGATTTTAATATTTATTCTATCTTCAATATTTATTTAGTTAAAATATGAGCAGTTAAAATATATTCGGCCATTTATTACGTTTATGAACAAAAATATATACGACCTTAATAAATTGGTATGAAATCTTGTAATTTATTAACAGCAGTAGTGCTTTTAAAGATACTGGCAGTGTTTACATATAAAAAATAAATAATACTATATTACAAACAGAAAATTATGAGAAATTTTATTTTATAATATTGCTTTAATAAACGTATTTGTAGTTAAATATGGAATTTCTTATAAGCTTAGTCTGACATTTTCTTATCTCATATTCCAGTTTTTGTGCTAAGTTACATAACGAGTGTTTAGAAATCAGGAACTAAATTAGTTTCAAAAAACACTATATACAGGGTGACTGGTGAATTACTATCAATATTTAAGGAGCATACTCAGTACATGATTCTCATTCGAATTATGTAAAAAAAATAGGTACTTAATTTTTGACCAAATTTCCGTATAAATAAATAAAGTGTGTACACGTTCCAAGTGTTCCAAGTGTGGACGCGTGCGGCGGCGTGCTGATACAACAACACGCCGCCGCGCGCGAGTGTGTGTGTGTGTGTATACCTAATCTGTAGGGTGTTCATACGATGCGTAATTAATTACATAACTTTTGGTTAACTTTACTTAGAAGTTTATTAATATTTATGTTATATTAATTTTTATTTTGTCAAATATGATCGTCAAATATCACGTCCTCAAATATCGATAGTAATTCACCAGTCACCCTGTATAAATAAATATTTCAGTTTAAACTAATTATATTATAATTACTATTAACCATGTTCTATAATGTTTTAATGAATACTGAATAACCGACATGTTGTTTTAATCTCCTTCTCAATTTAGTTCGCCTCCCCCGATCACACTTTTCGTAACGCTTTCGTAACGCATTCACCAGCTTACTCCCAAGTCAAGCGTGCATAAAGAAGTTTTACTTCAATAATAACATCACGTGCGCCGTAACCCTGACATTATTTGGATGGATTATGACAAGAATATGACAGTCACGGATGTTGAGGCAATGCCCCATAATAATTATTAATGACACGCGCTATGGTCACTTTCACTGGCCACGCCATAAAAGCAAGGTCGACCATATATGATACACCATGGATTTAGAACTTAATTGAATTTATCATAGAAAATTAATAAATCGATAGATGTTAAATAACAGGACCAACTGACAGACATTCACATCTCGTCTGCCCGTGATCACGGTTGATGCAAAGTAACCGAAATGTCGGGAGTAAGTAGTTTGAAAAAAAAAATATATAGCACGCGTAGTATATCCGAAAAATATTAGTTACCTTTAAATGTATCAAACTCGCCAAAGTACGTAGTTTGAAAGCACTAATATGTGAGGATTATTAAAATTTTAGTATCCAGGATATAAGCATTTCTTGTTTCAAATTACATCTAAGGTATTTCTGGACAAGTTTCGCTGGACGTTTTTATAGGAAATAAAACTTGAGTGAACGAGGAAATGAGGAGGAATTTAAGACATCATCGCACTTCCCTGTCTGCTTTCCTGGTACACGAAAAACTTTATTTATTATATATATATATATATAATTTAGTTAGTACATAGCTTTTTAAAGATACAAATAAGTATAACATCTTATATTTTTCAGTACACCTCAACCGATATTCATTTTTGTATTTCATAACTATACCCAAAAAGTAACATGGAAAAATCTTCCATAAGCAAATAAAGTCGCTTTTGGTGCTTGTGTAAAATACTTCTTATTTAAAATAATAAAACACATTTATAAAATAATAAAGATAATAAACTGTATGTCATTATGAAGATGAATAACGACGTCTGTCAAAATATAATTAAAACTCAAAACGTCAAGGGTCCAACTAAAACGTTTAGAAATCACACACGGCTCATATCATTAACATTTTATTGCATATGGGAAAGTTATAGGAGAATTTGCATATGACTGTCATCTGCTTAACAGAAAATTATTGCTATAACAAAACGCAACAGCAAAGGTAAACGCTAAGGGCATACGGTATCTTTTAATAAGAGCTATAACAACATACATATATTATGTAAAAATAAATTTTGTTTGTCTGTCTTTAGTCGGGAATAAATATGTTTAGAGCTAAATTGTGGTTTTAAATAATATTAGCGCGAATATTATGTTATTAAAAACACGTAAAATCTCGGTTAGCAACTATTGTAGGAAAAAATTAATTATAAAATGTATAGAAGTCACATAGATAACTAAATTACTTGCAATAAATTATAGTTATAAATATTATACCAAAACTAAAACAATTAATTGTTTAAATTAATTTTTATATAAATATAATCGTCTAGACATTTAAATGTGTAAACAGGGTGTAATCAAATGTAATGAGTATGCACATAATGTGTTCGTACTATAATGACAGCCGACGTGCTTTCCCGCGCTTTCTACTCATATTTGTTTTACTTCTGGGCATCTTTGGCGTGTGGAACTATACACAATAATTAAATAAACAGGATAAATTTTACTGAATATATATTATCATTTTGAAACGCGTCAATTGATCTATCTTAGATTTATCTTGGTGTCAACTAAGATGTTAATGCTCATGTTTTGAGTTGAGACTTTTTACAATATATATATATATATATATATATATGGTTATAATAAACTAGAAATTTCTCATTTGCCTGCTTTTTTCGTCAGACTGAAATTCATAGCAGAGAGCATCGTGGACAAAAGAAAGTTTTGTAAGAGGCAAGGACAAAGGATGTTTTGCAGCCCCTCGATATATTTGGTTCTTGTATATATATAACATATGTATATAAATGTATACAAACATTTTAATCACAGCCAAACCGTGCTAAAGACAATAATATGGTGTAATATTTTTATATATTTTAGGGTAATTTTATATCTTTATTGTTATTTATAGCTTTTCATTATTCATCGTTGTTAGGACAGAAAAAATGTGAATGAAATAAAAAAAAACCTTCTATTTTAAGTCAATTTACATGATAATTAAACTTATATTTTAGACAATATTGTTATGTTTTCAAAGTTCAAGTTTTTTTTAAATATATATTTTGATGGTAAGCGGAGTTGTAAAGACCATTACGGTATTTCAATATGTAATTATATTGTTATTATTTTCATAACATTATTCAATAAGATTTCATATTTTTAGTAAGAACTAGTAACTATATTCATATAGCTATCAAAAATATTAAAAGAACACTAGTAATCTTTTAAAAAAATAGACTAAAAAATATGTAAAGAAAAGGTATTATGTACTGGTAACATAATTAATGAATAGTAACTTCATAGACGCATCTGTAGAGTAGTAATAAATAAATCACTTAAAATAAATTGTTTATAGAAAAACAAACTTTAAATCAGTATACTGGCAACACATACTAGACTAGCTACATATGAAAATATATAAAGCGCTTTTTCCTCTTTAGAGTTATAAAATTACATTCCATAGTTATTCTTATTAATCAAATGAACTTGCTTTATATGACCGAGGGAAAAAAATCACTAAGTCTTTAAAGTTCGTGCGTTTCAATGGAATGCGAGCAACCAGGCGATACTCGAACAGGTTGGCATTGAAGTGAGCATTGGTATATCATTTGATAGCATTACGTTAGACAAATATATATTATTAGAATTAAACCAATATCTTTTCGGATTATGCTACACGTATTTTATTATTATAAGCAACCGTGATCACGGGCAGACGATATGTGACATGAATAGTCTCTGAAACGTAACCGAAATATCGGGAGTATGTAGTTTTAAAAACTACAAACTACTTTATGGTTTAATTTAGTAGTAAAATGATAAAATACGCGTAGTATAAACCTAAAGGTATGAATACTCTCGAAAGTCTCATTTCTCGTTACAAAGTAATGTTTAATTATACTATTTTTTATGTCCCAAAGGGGCAAACGTACAGACGGCCTACCTGATGGTAAGTAAACATCTGCAACATAAGTTGTTGCAGATGCGTTCCGGACCTTGTATGAGGAGGAGATTCTATACATCATACATTCGTCTGTTATTGTGTATAATGAGATCTAAGATTTTCGCGAGTATTCATTTAAATGGAACTAATATTTTTCGGATGTTCTACGCGATTTTTATTTTTGATTATAAACTACATACTCCCGACGTTTCGATTACTTTACAGCAACCGTGATCACGGGCAGACGAGATGCCGGTAAAAATCACGTAGTACATCCGAAAAATATTAGTTTCATTTAAATGTTATTCTGTATACCGACCTGTGTGTTGAGTGTTGGCGCGGGCGCGGCGCTGTGAGGCGGCACCGCGTGTACCGGCCTGGCAGGTCTGCTGGAGGCCCTCACCAGCGACGCTCGCTTCACGGACACCATCAGCCACACGTCCTCCACACGCTGACAGACCTGATATATAACATGATACATCATCATTATCATCATTATTATCACACGTAATCAATCCACGTATGAAGCTTCTCCAAGAGCAGAGTAATGAAATCTTTACTAATTTATTTAGACCTCAACAAACCGTTCTAAATTTAAAAATTATTTTTACAAAGTAAAACTTAAAAAATAAGAGAGTCACTAGCAAGTTAAAAACCTTCAATAAAATCGTTCCCATGTATTGATTAAATTGTTATATAAAGATGCGCTATTTCACTCTAAAGATATTTCATTTCTGACTGTCTAACTTTTTTGTTAATAATTTTGATATCGTTCATTTTACAGTAGAAAAGGGATAGCATTAAATCTAAGACAATTTAATTTTCATACATGGCAAATGGTTAAGGGTGACTTACCCACAAACAAAAAAAAAAATTAATTAAAAGCTTAACAATATTAAAAAGTCAATGAATTGTGTAAGATAAAAATAAAACCTTTAAAAAGACGCTAGTTCTTTTATTTAATACGTTTTTAAATCAATGATCAATCAATCTTGGTCTCCAGGGCGGTTAAGTTTATAATAACTAGTTGAGGAGTTATGTAATTGTATATAGAGACTGTATTCTAAGCCTATATAATTTCTTGGATGTTCAAATAACAATGACATTATATTTTCTATAAGGAATCAAAGTCTTCTTTCATATGGCGAGGTGTTGGTAGCTTTTATTTATTAAAATCCTATGTTACATGATATTACAGTAAATAATGTTCTCTGGATATATCCGTCAATATTATAAATAATATGTAAATAGCAGTTAGTTGATGTTCTAAATTTGTTATAATGAGAGTACTTGGTGAATTTTTATAGCTTGTGTTAAATACGTTACTTTGGTAGTTGATACTATCAAAGCAAATATGGTCATGTATGAAAGACGGTAGTGTTAGGTTACTACAGGTGGTTGACTTAATGTAAACGAAAACTTTGTCCTTAAATTTTATCAGATTTCATAGCGAAATCAATCTCAAGACAGGTAATATATGATACTAGCTTCCGCCCGCAGCTTCGCCCGCGTTGAGTTCGGTTATATCGCGTTTCCAAGAGAACTTTTTAAAAGTCTGGGATAAAAACTATCCTATGTTCTTTCTCAAGGTCAATTCTATGTCTGTACCAAATTTCATTAAAATCAATTCAGTGGTTTAAGCGTGAAAGTGTAACAGACAGACAGACAGACAGAGTTACTTTCGCATTTATAATATTAATTAGTAGGAATGTGTTTATTAGGCAGTTTCAAAACCAAAGTCTAATATAACAAGACCTCTGATATAGTACATTACCTGTGTAACCAGAGCTCTTGTCTCTGGTGTGGCGGACTGCATCAGCATGTCCCGGAACTGTTCCGGTGAAGTTAATCCAAAACTTTTGGCATCTTCTAGTGATTTATCAACAGCTATTAAACCTCCTTCGCCGGCGAGGATCTCTACTCCCGTCGCGCACCAATCATTGGCCTATATATACATAAAAATACATAAGTTTGTGTTGGTTCATTTAAATGCAATTATTTTTAGGTTACACAGATGACATGAAAAAATTATCATCATCAAGAAATAGAAATTTGTGTTTCAGGCTAACAAAAGGTCATTCGTGTAGCGAACTAATGAATAATAATAATTATAATAAGTAATATTTTTTACGTATCTTATATAAGTTACATAAGTTTAGTTACCTTATCAATTCTATCCATAACTTCTCTAGCTTTGGTCAATAGCATATTTCGTTTTTGAATTTTTTCTATGAGCAACGAGCTGGTTCGTCTTAACTCCTCACACTTTGATTCTATGTGATCGACAGAACTCAGAGGGTCCTTCATTAAAACCTCACCTTTAACGGAAAAGTACAATAAACACATCAATAATTAATAAAAACAAATTTTAAGACCAATATGTATTTATTTATATAATGTATGTAATTTTTTACCTTCATCAATAACCAGTGAAGCAGCGTCGAGATCATTATTACACTGTTTTTCAAACTCGATAGCTTCTTGGAGAAGAGTTTGTACTCTGTTTGCAGTTTCACCAACTTCGGTCATGTCACAAGCAGTCTTTAAATGTCCGTCTAAAGCAGCCTAAAATTTAATTCAACCTCTTTAAATGATTGACCTCCTTGGTCGTGTCATGTCAAAAGTGAAAATGACAACTCGAAATTAAAAAAGTAATTTGACGTTTGCTTTTGACTTTTGTCGAAATGGAATACTAATTGCGATCAATTTTTAAAGTGTAAAGCGTAATTTAATGTTTTAAGATGACTTTGGACATGGTTTGTAATTTCCGCAAGTGTAGAAAATCTTTATCCAATCACGCGTGGGTCACGACTTGTTCTCATGCGTTTTGTATAGAACACGGACAACAAGAATTTAAGAGGAATGCTGAGAATTCTTTAACGTGTCCAGCGTGTGGGAGTGAATTAAAAGATAAATTTGATGTTATCCAAGCGGATCTCAAGCCGACTGAGACATTTAAATCAATCGTACTAGCAGGATTAAAACCGGATACTATAATGGATGTGGCTATGAGAGCTATGTCTTTCTGGTCATATCAAGTGGAACAAGAGACTTTGTATCAAGAAACTCTGGCAAAACATTCGAAGGAAAAACTGCAATGTTTAGAAGAAGTGAATAAGCTTAATTTGCAGAAATTAAAAGCAGAATTAGAAAACTCTAAACGTAAAATTGCGTCCATGCAAATAGATTTCAACAAGAAACGTAAACAAGCCGAGGAGCTAGCGGCGCGCTTGGAAGAAAAGACGAGACAAATACAGAAACTAACATTCCAACTCGACTCACAGAAACGGAAAGATATTCCACTGAAAGATTTGGAAGACAAAAACGATAATCAGGAAAAGATAATGAACATAACTGATTTGGTCGGAAAAAGGGCGGCTTCAGAGGCGTTCATCTTTAAACCATTGAAAGAAATTGAAAATCAGCATAGGATTTGTTCGCCCAAGACGCCCATGTTTGATTTCCGACATAAAAGCAAGCGACCACCAAGCTTTCAGTTTCGACCGATACACTCGTAGGATAATAAGATTAGCGTATTATATATAAGTGTAAGTGATTACCTGCATCTGTTTGAAATTCAATAAGAATGTTCTGAATTTAAGCCAGTGGTTTAATTTCATCGAATGCTTCTCCCAGAAACTGTCAAACTGTTTCTCCGTCTCGTCTAACTGCACGATTAATCTGGAAATTATAATTTGATTGAAATAGTCATTTTAAATGTAATTTCGTAGAGATAGGAACTATGGAAATTTGTCAAAGATATTATAATAATAGCACGGCTGGTTTTATTAAATTCTGTCTTTATGGATATTATACTTCTCAGTTCTGAAGTAATTATAGTTGATTTATGATAAATATTGCTTGCATGTATCAGTGTAATTTATATAAATTAATCGCAATTTAAATCCATAAATAAATGGGAATGCAACTTAGATTTTGGTTCTTATTTTTTCACAAACCAACTACACAATCAGCTCCATTATATTTATCTCTTATATCTCTGTTTATTGTCAGCTCTATATAAAGAAGCACTTAAAACATTAACATCATAGGAAATAGAGGAAGGATCGTTTTCAAGAAATTATATGAAAGTACAAGGGAATGAGCACTATGAACATAAAACCGGTATAATATAATTATTACCTCTCGACAGCAGCGACGTGGCTGATGATGTTGTAAGTGAGGTGAGGGGTTCGCATCGAAGACAACAACTCCTCGCCCTCAGAGGTCGCTGATGATAGCTCAGCCTTCAGAGACTTATACCTAGAGAGAGACAGAGATATAGATTAAAGAGAGATAGCGATATTAATAAATGTATATGGTAATGAGAATAAAATTCATATTTATAACTGAAAATAGAATTATTACCTAGATTCTTGACAGTCTAATAATTCTTTGGTTTGTGTTGGATCGTTGCCCATGTCGCAGTCAACTATTTCGTGCATAAATTCGTCCAGTTTGGTCGATATCTCCTTCATCAGTGTGGAAAATTTCTCCAAAGCCTGGAAATATAAAAAATAATCAATATTGGCCCCATCATAGGTGTAATATGAATAAATTTCAAATTTATCAGTGTTCCGTAACGCGATCGGCTAATTACGAAACTTCCAATAGATCCTCATGAAGAATTCAGAGCGCAAGGGTTGAACATCATTAAGATTATCCTACTAATATTATAATTGCGAAAGTTTGTGACTGTGTGTGTATGTTTGTTACTTCTTCACGCTCAAACGGCTGAACTGATTTTGATAAAATTTTGTATACAGGAAGCTGACGTCTAGGAATAACACATAGGCTACTTTACATCCCGGAAATCCCGGTAATCTGTAGGTAACACCGCGTGGCGCAGCTAGTATAAAATAAAGGAAAGAAACGTATGATAATTACGATTCGTTGTTGTATCCATTCTGAATGCGAGTATTGAAGCTCCCCTCCCAGGTCCGGCGTCAGTTGAGATCTGTCGAAGTGCTCATACAACTCCTCGACACTTGAACATACTATCACTCGGAAACGGAACTCCTCCTTGAACAGCTTGCTACTGACTTCTGACAGGGCCTTCTGAAGGAAACTAGCGGGGCGCAGAACGAAAACTGTGTGGATAATGCCCGGGAAGAACTCCTGAAAATATAGAACATATTCTGATATAATTTCTACAACTGTGATATTAAAGTGTCTTCTCAAGTATGGAAACTGATATTCTACCATTTTAAACAATTCATTTTTATTCTACGTATCTTACTATATATGGGGAAACCACCGATATGATTCTAATAGGACTTTAATTTTATAATAAGGAAGTAAAGCAATAGAACCCAAAATTCCAAAAGATGGTGACTTTTTGAAACATTTACTATCAGGTGGACTGTTTCCTTGTTTGTTATCTAGGTAGAAAAAATATTACGTTCGAAAAAAACATATTTTTAGCAGAATAAACTGAAAAAAAACCTTTGTTATGCAATATATTAACATTATAACGATATATACATTAACATGTAACGTAAATCTAAATCGTTTTTATAATAGGTACTTATAACCAAACCTTTTTATCAAACTGTCTTGTTAAAATCATATATTTGTGTCAAAAGAAAGCATCTATTTTATATACTCACTGATATTCGTAGTAGCACCGCTTTAACTGAATTCCACCTGTCTTTCCTCCGATCTATTATAATGTGGAAGCCCATTTCAGCTTCCAGCAATCTGATAGAAACAAAGCACAAATTTAGTGTTTTTCGTGTAAAAAAGTGCTATCCCTACTAATATTATAAATGCGAAAGTAACTCTGTCTGTCTATCTGTCTGTAACGCTTTCACGCCTAAACCACTGAACTGATTTTAATGAAATTTGGTACAGAGATGGAGTTGACCTTGAGAAAGAACATAGGATAGTTTTAATCCCAGACTTTCGAAAGGTTCTCTTGGAAACGCGATATAACCGAACACCACGCGGGCGAAACTAGTTTATACATAGATCTTAATACTTACGAAGGTACGGAAGTTAAGTAGAGTAGTAATCTCCTGTATTCAGAGGCTGTGACGACGTGGAAGTTATTGTTGTCGGGGAAGGTGATGAGAGGTCTGTGATCCCGAGCCAGCCCGCCAGTCGCCAGGGCATACTGCGGCAACAACAATTCACCCACTGTACGACCTTCTTCATCACTGCCGCATCCATCGCACTCGGCTTCTAATGATTAATATACATTTTTATATTACTATTTATGATCCATTTAATACTCTTTTGAATTATTACTTTATATGTTGTATAATTGTAAAGAATAAAACCTTGTTTCGTATTAAAAATCTTTTTATACATAGGTATATCTACTTATTTGGATTTGGATTATGTAATCAGAACTAATATGAGGTACATAAGTAGGTATGTTTCGTTTGATTACTTTTTTAATTGCAGACTTGAATAAAAATCATTTTAATATTTTTTATAACATAAAATTAGCTTTTAGAATCATTCAGAACATGTTTATATTTTTTTTATGCCCTGTATGAAAATAATATTGTCAAAGAAATTTTCATATACTATATAAATGTGCACCATAAATTAAGTTGGATAGATCATTACGCTAAACTAAATATTGAATTTGAAAATTTTATATATAAAAAAAACTAGTTTAGCCTTAGTTAAACTTATCAATATATATTGTATTCAACCATACGAGTTATACTCATTCGATGTTGTTAAGACGCGCCTTTTCTTTGACTAATGTCGATACAACACGCAACTAGATGCCACCCTAGCACAACGTGCAGAGACTAATGTAATCTTACCATACCATAATATTAATATATGCCTATTTTAATTGCAATAAAGAAAAACTTCAACAAAAGTTACAAGTACTATCTTTGTCTACTGATGTGCAGTGGAAATTCGATTTTAAAATGTTCTACTTCATACTCTCTTCAATTTAAAATCGATTGACACATGACAGGTAGATGATATCTGTTGAGAGCAGACTCCGCTAACAAAACATCCAATTTCCTCTACTACGAGTATTGATAGACGAACTGAAAGCGTTTTCCGATTTTTAATTCATAAATCCTCACTCATGAATCATGATTCAGTATCTAATTGTCAATGTAAAACTACCTTTATATTTAACGATGTAAACAGTCACTCAAATTAACGGCACTTAACGTACATATTAATAATGTAATATCACTATCTATATGATAATAAATTCTTCAATTTAACTTTAGCTTGCAATACACATAGTTTCGTTTAAACCCCATACTTTTCAACTTCCTTAAATTATACCCGGACATTCCAATTTATCAGAAACAATTAAAACAATCAAGATCTCATTGTTTGTATACGAGAGCGATTTTTATCTTAACAATGGCAGGAATTTTTTATACTTCCCTACAAAAATTGTGGAAAAATATTCTATAATATCATATGAAAATAAAAAATGGTTTAAGAATAAAACAACAGGATGTATAATCACAAACATTAGAAGTGAAAAAAAGTTCACATGTGTATTAAAATTGTTATTCTGTATAATTTTCAACCGTTTGCTATGTAATGTCTATAAGTCTTTAAAGTAGGCTCATGTATTGGAATAAAATCTAGCAATGAACAAAAGTTTGCTTGGAGGTTTCATATTTCTTCTTCTTCTACCTGGCAATTTCCCAGCTTTAGCCAGGGTCTGCCTTACATGTTGTAAATAGCTTTGGCTAATTATTTTTATGAACGGGCGCCTGCCTGACATCAACAATCTTATATTTCGTTTATCTTAAAACCAATAAGATCTTAATCACATTATAGGTATCAAACGTTATTATAATATTAATAAAAAAAATCAAAATATTGTATCCCTTTAAGAGCACATAGCAATTTCTTATGCGAAATGTATTTAGAAGTACTTTAAATAATTAATTAAACATTACCCACACTACCACGTCTTTGATAAACATGTCACATATAGAATACATCAGTACATGAAAACGATGTGTATAGTCACTTAATGTCAAACATAATGACATTAATATTCTATTGAACTTGAAATAATAAATGAATTATGGTCAATAAATAATAAGATTCATTAAATAGAAACAGACATACATATATTATATGGAATTTATTACATTACTTTAAATAATTATTAGGGAATATTCTGATGTTAAAGCACTCTGGTATATATGTTTGTGGTTATATACATATTTGAGACACGGTTGCTGTAAATTAACCGAAACGTCGGGACTACGTAATTAAAAATAATAAAATAATGCGTATGTAGTAATCAGAAAATATTAGTTTCATTTAAATATATAAATATGACGAACAATCTAAGTATATAAGGAAAATTATGTTTTGGTAAATAGTATATTTATAAAATTTAATTTATTTGCGTTAAATTTAGAACTGTCGTTTATTGTTGTTTTGAATAGATTTTATGTTTATTGATATAATATGTATATGTATTACAAAGTTAGTTGTACGCTGGATATTATGTGAGGTGTGTAGGTTTAATGTACGTTTGAAAGTCTATTAATCTGTTACAATGATCCATATACACAAGTATAGGGGCTGGAATCTATATCCTATTATGTAACTATCGTGAACATATGTATTTATGTTCAAACAACACGATAAAACTTGTATATTAGAAACAAAGACACAGTATATGTTAACTTGTTACTCAAAAACAGTTTTGATCCCACAATAATTTTACAAATTACCTACATACAAAGCACAAACCTATTAGCGATTATGTTAATAGTGATTCTGTATAATTAAGGTTTTTAAAAGCAAATTTAAATTTCAATATCATATATTAACAGGTTTTAATAATACAAATAACGGTAAAATAAAAAATCTGGCATCTTTTTTATATTATATATATATATAAAAGTTTATAACTTTCTTTGTATGCTCCAGTTATTAAACATCGATTATTTTTCCCGCCAGCGACATTGAAAAATTACCACCTTAACGATGTTCAATTTATTGTTCCATTCGCAAACCACGAGTCCATCCCATTACTCATTTATAACACTGTAAAAACTTCACGGTTGATGTAAAAACTAAAGATAATATCAAGAATATTTTTTACTGTAAACGCATTAAACTCTGTTAATCTTTAATTTAAACCAAAATTACAATATCTACGACTTAAAAGCGGAACCACCACAATTATATCATAAAGTTTATTGCACTTATTTCTTTTCTCTACCTAAAGTTAAAAAAATTTAAAATGCTCTTTTTGTTTTAATCAGTGAGTACACTATAATAAAAAACACTTGCCTAATTTTTGGCTCTTGACGAAGATGTTAAACTTCAAGTGTGAAAAAGCGAACCGGTAATTAATCCGACACATGTTGCGCACGCGCACCTTACGAGAGTTCTCTCACATCTGAAGAACGGACAATGAAGGCAGTGCTAGCAGCATCTTATTTCGATGATAAAACCGCCGCTGTCATAACTTTCGGCGAAATTAAACTGAATTAAGTTTATAAATTTCACTGCGGAACTGAATCGATTAAGCGGTTATTTAGTTCCAGAAATGATTTTGATAGAAATGTTTTATACAATAAGAATAACGTTAAATACATATTATAGAAGCTTCTTTTAAATGTATCTTCAAGGTATGTTCGAACCAGTTATACAGATACGGTAATAAATAAACACATATAATCATTACAACGATACTTACAAATTGCAATTTACGGTTATGGCTTCCTAGCACGTGTTATTTTTATTCAATTGTAGTGAATTGTGTACAACATGAATAGATAATTCACCTTGAAATTACTGAATGAACAACACAAACATTCCATAATGAACATCACGCTTGTGACCGGCTGTATTACCATGTATTACCGTAATAAATGATTACCGTGGAAGCCGAAACACTGCATAGTTCTGCGCACGCGACAGCAAGTTCCGCCCGCGATTCTCGCACTGACGCTGTCACACTCTGACACACTTATACTATACATCCTTGACATACGACCTCACTATAAATTTCCAATAAACCTTATCACAATAGAAATAACGATCATATTACAATGCGTGTTTTACGTCGTCCACGCTAGACCGCAGATGATGCTCTGAAATGTCAAACATTTGACGCCAACATTATCGAAGGTGAGCCGCAATCGATGAGATAACTGGATCATGGAGAGGATGATAACATTATCGTATATAAATAAACCATGTATAGAATAATATCATTCGATAGTTATATTAATATTAAAGCCTTTAGCTTAATCTGAAAGAATGAAGTACTTTTTTGTAATTAACAAACGATCGATACTAAAAAATACTCAGAGAATGATTGTCGGCTTGCGGAAAGCATCCAAATCATTTAGTTCCGAAGACGGAGAAACGAGGCCACAGCGGAATGCTGTAAACAGAATGGAACGATGGATAATTATTAACAACTAAATAGCAGACGACCGCCTTCACACGTCATAACTAGCATAATATATAACACGAGGAAAAAAAGTTAAACAATTGTATATAAAAATAAACAAGGAACTTTAAAAATGAATTAGTTTAATATACAACAAATAAAGATTACTTATAACATCAGAACATAATATAGTAGAAAGGACAAGTTACTTAAACGTCTTTATGAGAATAACAAGAACTGGTGACGCGAACATTATCGGATGTGACTGATAAGATGTGAGAAAGGTAAAAATCTTTTAGGGAAAATATACGTATCTTAATATAACGGAGATTTATGTTAAGAAAATATTATTTATTTATAAAATAATGCATAAAGAAAACATCAAGATCTTATAAACAGTATTAGCATTTGACAAAAACAAAAGACTGTTTTAATAACTCGATTTAAAAGTATTCCATTTAAGTAAACAATAAAATAAAAGCGAAAGCAGTAATACGTTTCAAGCACTATCTGCGGTACTAAAAATCATTGAATCAGTGTGTCATAAACGATATTAAAATTTGTTCAAGATTGAATAAACGTTAGGGTAATACAAGCGACCTTGATACTTTAACAACTTTGAGTCGTTGACGCGACAACGCGGCCATTGTTCTCGAGGCCTTGGTATAAACCGTTCAGTTTAAAAAGGACTTTTTAAAAGTCGGGTGTTCCATGTTATATGGGTGGTTAATAGTTTGTTTGTTTTTAAAGTAATTCAACGTCCCGTTTCGACGAAGAATTTTGTTTATATTCTCGCAAATCGCTAACCAATCAGAGAGCGTTGTTTCCGTTCTTGTAAATAAAAGTTTTCGAATGATTTACTATACTTTTTGCCTATTTCTATATTTAGCTTAACTTATCTTCTATAAACAGAATTTGTGCAGAAAGAACTACCTCGTAATATGTATATAATACTACCTTTTTAATTTTGTATGTCAGTAATAGTAAGTTCATATAATTCTTATTTCCCTGTTTACATATTTGTGCCATTACTTAACTATAACAAAATATATTTGGAAACAATCTTTGTTTTAATGATTTCTCATAATACGTAATGTTATATGGACGTACATATTTTGTAACTGACTATGCATTGTGAATGGTGAGAAAATTTTAATTAATGAAATCAGGTTCACATTTTTTATAACATACATTAAGTGTAAATTTTATTGAAATAAAACCAATTTAATGAGATCTAAGATTTTCGCGTTTTATTCATTTAAATGAAACTAATATTTTTCGGATATACGCGACTTTATTTTTTTTCTAAACTACATCTCGTCTGCCCGTTTTTGTTGATGAAAAGTAGGCGAAACGTCTGGAGTATGTAGTTTTCTACAAAATTAAATCTCGTAGTATATTTGAAAAATATTAGCTTCATTTAAAGCCAATTTATATACATGTAATAGGTAGTAGTACATGTAGAACTAAGCTATTGTCTGTCACTACACTGGAGGTTTATCAATGCATACAATGTGTACAGGCTTATGAAGGCTAAATAGCCACGGAAACCTAGATTCAGTATTCACAACAGTATAAGTCTATGTAGTCGCCGGGATCATAGGTTCCCTTTGGAATTATAAGGCAGATTAACATAGTGTTAATATTTATTTATACTAGATATTAATAAACAGTTAATATTTGACAGTTTATGTCAAGTTCAATAGTAGAATAGAAATGTCATTTTTGACATCTAGTAATATGACATATTGAAAAATCTTAAAGGCGTATAACGTATTTTAGCGCCAAAAGTTATGATAGTGTGTTTGATATTTTAAATAAGAATAATTTTCTGTACGTATTTTTCATAAAACTTTCGTCTGTTCCTGTAATTGTCTTTAAAAATGTATGGAGTTTTTCCTTCATGTATTTATTATTAATACCTCTTTTATTTATTATTGGTTTGTATACGTAACGGTTTTCTTGTTAGGGGTTAATTTAAGCAAGTAATTACCTACCAACAATGATAGTATCGTTCTACCCTATACAGATAATTTAACCACACAACTCACAAGCCAGTACAACAAGAATGTAGAATATGTAATTATTGTTTAATTTTACATATAATTACATATGAGGTAAAATATTACTAATTAATAAATATAAATATATATTCCAAAAACTTCCTTAAAAAGCAAAATATTTTTATATGCAAGGGTTGCTGAATTATATGTAAAATATTCAAAAAAATCTAACAACTTTAAACTTATTAAAAAAGAATTTTATGAGAGCAATTTCACTAAAAATATGTATGTGCATGTTCAAAAACAATTACCTACTTATATTTGTTTTCCAACATACGTTAGTGAATAGATAATCTTGAAAATATGTAAGAATATCTTCTTCTTCCTGGCAGTTTCCCAGCTTTAGCCAGGGTCTGCCTTACATGTTGTGAATAGTTTTGGCTAATTGTTTTTACGACCGACCGCGTGCCTGACATCAACCCTCTTTGGGAATTATATAAGAATATGTAGTACAATAAAAAAAAACTCCTTTTTAAGAACTATTAAAACAAAACAAGTAACAATTAAATCATTTCCTTCGGTATTTTTCTAGTACTTCAACATATATATCTATGCTTAATGTAATTATAACTTATATATAAAACCTTTTATCATTCCGCACCTGGCGGCTGACATTCATTCAACAGACACGAAGCTCCCCCAGGATATTGTATTACCTTCACACGACCATGTTAAACACATGAGTACGATTTGTATACGAGTAATGTGTCTTGATTTGAGCTTATTTGTAAGAAAAACGAATTAAAAGAAATATAATACATACGTTTTTCATACTATTATTCAGTTAGTGTAACTCTACTTAAAAAATATGATTTTTCAAGAACTGTATAAATTTTTACTTCCTTGGTTAAAACCATTGATTTTGGATGTATATTATTTAATTATCCATCCGTAAACTATAAAATTTATTTTTATTAATGTTTACAGTTAACCAAGCCGTTTTGGAATAGCACAGACTTAAATTTAAATTCTACATATAAATGCATTATAACGTTCAGAGAGATATTATCAATATAAATCGGAATATCCAAATATAGGAGATTACAATGTATTTGAAGTACATATACATTGAACAAATAATCTTCAGAAACATTAATGCCATTGTTTCTTACAATGCGTCCAAGGGAAGCCGGACAAACATACGACTTAAACCCTTAAGGACTGGAATAAATTTATATTCGACAACGGGTTTCTTTGGGTACTTAGATTTATCGACCATTTGTTTTTGTCATAAAGTTATAAAGAGGTTGAAAATTCCACGTAAAATTTAACTTACATCAATGATAGAAGCCTTTAACATGTAAAATAAAATCAGTAGCGCATTATTTGTCTAATATTTTGGAGCTAACGTGATTTCAGACGTACGAACGCGTATGGGAACTCGTTAAACCAGATCATCGGCATTTCTAAAGGGGCTCCGAAAGCACTTTGGATGTAAAGCATTTTTTATAATAACTAAGTAGCCTTATTATTTGAGCTTAGTCTTTTGTCTCCCGCGACGCTGCTAATAATAGGAGTGTGTGGTATTAACAGAAAACGCCGACTTAATAACAGTATGTACCAACAAAGAGATATTATTTTAGCTTTGTTTTGAATAAGAGCCATAATTATGTGGAAGTATACGTTAAAATAAAAGATAAATTAATATTTTAAGTATTCGTATGTCGAATTTTTGTTTGTATTGACTATACTGCTTATCAATACAAAAAGTAAATATGTATTAAATAATAGCGGTCAATTAAGTAAAACGCAAAAAGATCGTTAAATTTATAAGATTATTCACGCATTACATAATTATCTGTACGTAAATTCTTTTATTCGATAAATACTTACGACCTCTTCCAAAAAATATTTCTAACTTGTTGGGCACTTCAAAACGTATTTTCATATCACTGGCTGTTTCACACAATCTATGCTCGATCGCCACGGTTCACAATTAAAAAAAAAAAAAAAATTTCAAAATTCGAATTCAACTTAATAATTGGCGCGTCGACGTTAGTTAATGACGCGCATCGGATGTACTCCGGTGACAACTCAAAGCGGACTGAGTGGCGAGCGAGTGCGAAGTAGCTGGCGTCCTTCCGTATGGGATGCCTCCCGCCTCGGCCTATATCCACTAAACTGAATACTACAGACGTGATGTAATCTATGACGGGCCCAACGAATAGATAACGCGAGATAACGTTACAAGCTGTTAACGTAACAACCAACATTTACATATCCTACGAGCATTATTCAGAAAATACTCCAGTTCAGAATTGTTTTATTGTAAATGCAGTACTAACCCATATTAGTCACAATAAAATGCATGCTTAATATCACGTATTATGTATTATCACACGCTGCGTATACTCGTTGGTGTTTTAACTACTTACGAGATAGTAATTATTGTTGTTCTATTTTTGAATTGTCAGACATAAAAAGACTATACATTTATTATGTAATTTTCATAGTTTTTTAAATAATGCTTTATATTTAAGTGCTAGTATTAAAAAAGGACCGCTATAGATTATAATAAGATATTTACTTC